GTGGTTGCAGAAAAATAGAAATAGTCTTTTCTGATCCCAAGTACAGCCATTAGTGTCATCTAATCGCCCCCTTTCTCCTTTGTTATTTATTCCTAAATCAGAGCAGATCTGTAGGATTGCTATTATGAAACTCATACCCCACCCAGTGTAGGGAGGTCTTCTCTGCTGTTCTTTCACTCCCACACCTTTTGATTCTTTCAATCAAAGGGAAGACTGAACTGGGAAATTCAGTTGTAGTTGTCTATCACCAATTCAGTTATTACCAGTTTGAGAACGGTAAGGTGTGATCTATGGTTATGAACACTCTTAGAGAACTTTGCGTCTGCACAATTATTTTTCTCTACATTTACTAAAAATTATTATACTAAAAGCAAGTTTCCAACTCTGGAGTTCTGTTAGCTGTCTTACACTCAAGGTACACAGTGTTAATAATCCTGATCTTCCACCTAGAATTTTGTCTACTAGAGTTGGAGGAATGTTGCATCCTAGGAATGATGCATGGTACCCCTAGAGTTTGGAATTTTCTTACATCAGAATACATGGGCCACATTAGTGAAGTTTGGCTGAACTCAGCACAAATTCCCACCAACTTCTTAATAATACACTGCATATAATTCAGTATTTACTTTGATATCTGTTGGTTGGAAATGGCAAAAATTAATCCATTATGGCCTTTCCAAACCCTGAGCATTTGCCCTATTCTCTTGCTCCTCCAAATTAAGAAATTTTCTTTCAGACCTTCCAAGTGAATTCTCCCAGGCTGAAGAGAATCTTAATTATTATTTACAAATAAGTGCTTCTTAATTTATTTAAAAGTAGAAGTGACTGAACATCTAGATTTGTTGAGGATACTCCTGTTTTACATTTGTTTATTTCCATGGTATAATTATAAATAAAGCCCCTTTTATTTTCAAAAGTAACTTGGGTGGGGCCACAAGTTTTGTATTTACCCTATAAGAAGTCAAGCATCACTCCAAGTTTTTTTATTATACAACCTAGCACTTATACCTGTATCCACACTAATGCTGTCTCAGAATTTTCTTGATTCTTTTTAGATAAAGGGGCTCCTAAAAGAGTGAGATTAATCTCACTTCTATCACACCCTGCCCTTGCCTTCAGATATTGTCCTCCATCATTTTAATTTCTATAATAGCACTTTATCTTTTTTAGGAAAAGGAATTGTAAGTTACTGCACAGGTTATTTCTTCCTCAGTTTGTTCCCATCTGCTCTATAGCTGGTCAATATTTCTGTTTTATAATATGTAGTTCACCATCATCTAGTTTGATAACCCATGGAGGTTTATTTTTTCCTATATAAGTTTTCCCTTATCCATTTCAGGCAACTTCTAAAAGGAAGGTTTGGAAATGCATCCCATAAGAAATTTTCTTTGTATGAAATTGAAATCTTTTGTGTATAAGACTAAAAATTTTCAACTTATGCTGTATATATGATCTAATTTAAGCCAAGGAAGACTTTTCTTACATGGCATGTAGGAAAAAACACACTTTGCACACCTGATATGGCAACCCTTCCCAAAATATCTCATCTACTGAGGCCTAAAATTTACAAGTTGGGACTCAAATTGGGGTTAAATATTTAACATGCTAGATCATTTTTTAAATAGAAATTATTTATGGAATTTGGCCAAGATATCAACTCCATAATGCTGTACTGTGAGCTAGTTTAACTCAAAAAAACAAGAAAACTTAAAAGCAGTGTTTCTCCAGGGGTGGGAGTGGCTACAGACAGAAAATAGAAAGAGGAAGAGTAGCAACACCCAACTCACTCTGTGAGGTTTATAAGACACAAGCAGACGAACAGGCACAGCAAACACTCGCAAGGGCAGTGGTCGTACTGCATTTGGACATTACTAGCTCCCTTTCAGTTCTGCCTTCTTCTTCTCTATTGTTTTGAGTGGGAAGTGGAAATTATTTTTTCCCAGTAGATTTCTAGCTGGCATGAGCAGCAGGCATAGAAATAGCAGTAGTACTAACCCTTTGAAGATTTGGTAAGGGCAATAGGTAGTGGAACGACAGAAGGCAAAAGCTGTGTTTGGAAATCGAAGATTTTTAACAAACGTTCTCTACATCCAAGAGGCTCAGTTCTGTAGTACTGCTTCAGGGTAAGGCAGTGCTTCAGTGGAAGAAGATGGACTTAGCAGATCTTAGATTCACAATTTGCTGGCAGAACCTTTCCAGTGTAAACCACATTGTGAAAAGCCAGTAGGAAAACATGCTAGTAAATACTGAATTTCAAAAATTCACTCTGATCCTAAAGTTCTACCTTTCTTCAAGAATAACTGGAGGATATAAAAAGAAAGATGAGATTTTCTATTTCCCTCTGATTCTGCCTCCTTGATTTTGCAAATTTTTGGTTTTCTGTGTGGAATGATAGGCTGTGTATATGAGAAATATAAGTCATAGGCTTTGGGGCTTCTAAAGAGACTTTATGATCCTCTAGTCCAGGCTACAAATTTACCTGGCTACAAATCAGAATTTCTAGAGTGGACAATCCAAATGTGTGTTTTTCACAAGATGCTCTGGTGCTTTTGGCGATTGAAGGGTTTTGAAAACCACTGAGCTGGTTCTTCCTTTTCAGATACTTGAATGCCCGGTTGGCAAAAGGTCAGTACTCAATTATACCTTAATTCATAGCAGACTTGGGTAATGTCTGCTATGGATTGATCTACGTCTATTAGAGTTCCACTCCCCTCGTGCAATCCTTCTTTGAAACTTATATTCATAAAATAAATGATGGCTTCAGTTCTTTTGTTTTAATTTCAATTTCATCCTCATCTCTGGGCTGCAGTAAGTTGGCTTACAGTCAATTTGTTTTCTTCTCTTCGGTGTCACTGAGTTTAAATTGTTTTCTGCCCATCTAGAAGATTTCTCTCCCTTAATGTTGGATGGAAGAAGATGAACTACTCATTGAGCTGGCAGGAGTAAGAGTAGTAGGATTAGTTTGGTTTCAGAAATGATGTACGGCTGCAGGGTACAAAATCAACAGAGATTCATATCCTGGAAGACTAGTTAGTCTATCACGGCTGCTGCCATTATTTCTCAGTCCACAAATCTCCAGGCAAAGCGTCAAGGTCAACGACAACTATTTTTGAATTCTCTGGTTTTGTTTTCAGCAAAATTGATTAGCACTGCCTTCAAATGGTCGTGGGGAAGTATTTAAGGGGCAAAACCAAGTTAGGTGAAGCTGATGACTAAAGAAAATATAATAATTGATTAGTTTTACCTAATTAACTTCTGAGATGCTCTGATGCCTGGCAAAAATATTAAATTGGTAAAAATATTTCTTCAGCTATGTTAACCTTCTCCTCATTTCCTTCCCCACAATCAACCACTGAAGAACGGACTTGCTTTTTTTTAAAAGCATCTAATACCTTATACTAGCCCTTGTTCCTTCAGTTAAAAGCAAAATCAAGATTTTCTGTCATTTGATTCATTAATGGATGGTCCTAACCCCTGAGATCAACCAGTTATGGCATATGGTTTTAGATAAGAGTATTTTTTAACTATTTTTGAATTTCATCACAAGCCTATGGCATACAGAGAATAAAGGGCCTCCTAGGGTTGGGAAACTTTCAACATTCAGTGAGCTGCACTGTGTTTTATCAAAAATCAGGCTATTTTGTTTGATAATTACTAAAATTTAGTTAAATAATTTGTTTCTTCCTCAGAGCATGTTTCCACTAGAATCATAATTGAGTAGTGTTATTCTCATTCTAATGAGTCAGCATAAACATCACACCCCCAAAGGTTAATGGTAATGGCAAATCAGTAAACCTTTAATTAATTCAAAGAGTTCCAAATGAAATTCTAAAATTTCAGGATGATTATTTGCTAACATGTTTATTGCTCTTTATAGCTTATAAAGAGCTTTCAAATACATGATCTTTTTTTTTTTTTTTGAGACAGAGTCTCACTCTGTTGCCTGGGCTAGAGTACCCTGGAGTCAGACTAGCTCACAGCAACCTCAAACTCATGGGCTCAAGCAATCCTCCTGCCTGAGCCTCCTGAGTAGCTGGGACTACAGGCATGTGCCACCATGCCCGGCTGATGGCTAATTTTTTCTATATATTTTTTAGTTGGCCAATTAATTTCTTTCTATTTTTTTTTTAGTAGAGATGGGGTCTTGCTCTTGCTCAGGCTGGTTTCAAACTCCTGACCTTGAGCCATCCGCCCACTTCGGCCTCCCATAGAGCTAGGATTACAGGCGTGAGCCACCACACCCGGCCAACATGATCTTATTTAACGTTCACCACAGGCCTTGAAAATGATTTCTATTATCCTTATTTAATAGATGAAGCAACTGTGCTCAGAGCTGAGGGTGGGAACTACCATCCCAAGCCAGGTCTTCCGACTCTCAGTTTATTGATTGCTGCATTACACAAATCATTCCAATCACCCTTTTATGATAGTTTGTATTTTACAAACTATAATAAATATGTCCAACTTTGCATTTGTTTAGAAACTTGGGGGATATATTTGACTGGCAGTTAGGTAAGCACATGTGATATTGAAGAAAAAGCCCTAGACTGAGAATTTTAAAAAAAATTTTTAAAAAAAGGATAACACTATCTTGATCCTACCCTTTACTAATGATGTGACCTTGGGAAAATTGTATAAGTTTATCTGAAATGCACTTTTCTTTTCTTTAAAAGGGATGTTGATAATTCCTGGTGGGTCACAGTTTTAGTTTTCTATGACTACATAACAAAACATCCACAACCTAAAGTAACAACAGTTTATCATTTCTTTTGATTCTTGCATTAGAAATTCAAGCAGAGTTCAGCAGGGAGGTTCTTCTGCCCCACTTGGCATTGGCTAGGGGCACTATTTTGTCTGCATTTTGTTAGCAGCTGGGTTGGCCTGGCAGGTCCAAGAAAGTTGTCCTAACATGTTTGGCACTTCAGTACTCTTCCATGTTTTCTCTGCTTCTGTTTCTGTCTCTCTCTGTGTAGTTTCTCATCACTCAATAGTTTTTTTTCTTTTCAGTATGTAGCTGGCTTCTAAGGAGGAGAAAGAGGAAGATATCAGACCTCTTCTCTTAAAGGCTAGGCCCAGAACTGACACAACATCACTCTCTCCACATTCCATTATCCAAGCAAACTCTCAAGGCCAGCCCAGATTCAAGGGAAGGGAAAATCGATTTCATTTCTTGATGGGTGGAGCAGTAGGCACATACAGGGAAGGAAGAGACTAATGGCACTTTTGGAAACTATACCATGGTGAGCCTTAGATGGCTCTTGTGATTACTCAGTAAGATACTGAAAGTTGTATTTTTCAAACACAAATCATTATTAGGTGCCTGCTATAGCCAAGAGGTGTTCTATGCTCTTGTAGCATAAAACAAAATAGTTGTAGTTGTAAACAAAATAAATTTTGTTTCCTGCCTCCTAGTATATGGCAGATATCAACTAAATCAATATACAGATAAGTATTAAATATACAGATAAGCAAGAGCTATGAAGGAAAACTATAGAGTGCTATAGCACAATGGCCTAATTTAGATTAATGGGCCAGGAAAAGCATCTGAGCAAGTAATATTTGTGTTTAGGGCTGCAATCTGAGTTGGAATTAGCCATGTGAAAAGAAGAGGAAAGAACATTCCAGGCATAGGCCACAGCACATGGGATGACCCTGAGATGCGTTTCAAGCACTGAAAGGTGACAGTGGCTGGAACATAAGGGTCCAGAGTGCATACCTGGCAAAGCAGGCAGGCAGAGCCTTGTTATTATTGTATGTATTTTCCCCATTTCATCCAGTTGTTGAAAGACAGTTTAATCAAAGATTATATCCATACAACAATATTATAGAGTGGCTGGGTGTGTCTTGTAATATATGAATGCTCAAAGAGATTCTATAGTTTGCTTCCTTTTTGTTAAGTATGTTCCCACAGTCACTAACAGGTGTGTGTGGGCAAGAAGGGAAAGGGAAGAAAACAATTTTCAAAGATAGAGGTTGAGGAACTTATTTTATCAAAAGAGCTAATTTTTCTCTCCATGAGCATCTATAATTCCTAATGTATCACTCTTATAGCTTCTACATCATTAAGTGAATCTGAAAACTTACCTGCAAGTTCAATCTGCATCAGGCCTGCAAACACAAAATCAAATTAATTAATATTGTAATTGAGTTGACAAAGTCCTCATGAAAATGACAAGGCCTTAAATTTTAATTATGCATGCAGAACAAAGAATGTGTTCCAAATGTGATTTTTTTCCCCAAAAATGCCAAGCTCAAAATTAAATGACAAATTCAAAGCTAGATAGAACAGGGTCTAAATCATTTCAGATCTTGGATATCAATGCTTGGTACAGGAAAAATAAATGGAAAAAGATACAGTGCCTCCTGATAGAGGAAAATAATCTGCTAGATAGTAATTCACACCAATTTGCTGCCTGTTTACCACATATTTATTGTGTGCCTAGCCCCATGCAGTGTGTTTACTGAGGATACAAAGAAGTGTATGATACTATGCAACTCACAGTCTTGCTGGAAGGACAGTATGATATCTAGGAAGCAAAATAATATACCATGATAATATAAAATATAGTTATTGATTAAAAGTCCTTGCAATTTAAAGGATAGCCCCTTATGTATGAAGATAAGTAAAATTATTTTGATCTGTTTAAGTTTGAAAAGTAGCTACTGTAATTAGACACCATGATGTCATATCTTTGTTGTCTTCCTAGCATGTATTTCCCTTTCTCTCCTTCCATCCATAGCTATGGGTATAGAACCTAGAATAGCCAGTCTGTACCTTATATTTACATGGCTCAATAATCAGGTGAGCTGGGACATGTGATTGGAGTGAATCTTCACAGTCGTGCAGGGAACGCAAGGATAGCTCCTGTCTCCCGCTGGCTATGAACTAGGATAGATATAAAACCAAGGACTGCTGGCAGTCACAGGGTACCACTAGGACATATCTGCCTGAGAATAGACTGTATACTGAGGAAATGTTGAGCCAAGATTTGAAAAAAGAATTGCCTAAAGCTACATTTGCTTTTGCATTGTTTTATTCTATTTTGCTTTATTTTATCCTTTGCATCCCAAAGCAACCTAACTGAGAAGAAGGCGACCACTTAGGTTTCCTGTCCTTTTGTAATTCTTGGACAATTCATGTTACATAATCAATACCTGATTTTCACTGTGTAAGAGAAATGGCCAAACAATCCTTAAGATCCTTTCTCGTCTTAAAATTCCATGACACTAGTTTGTTATAAGAGTCCAGTCCAACACCAGACCTGACCAATTCCTCTAAGCTATCATCAAAGTTTATTATATTTGCTGGTAGGAGGGTTTGGGGCAAAATAAATAAATAAATAAATAAATAAAACCTCAATCTCAATTTCTGGCCACATAATAAAGAATACTTATGTCCTTTCCCACTCCCCATAAACTATTACAGATCTAAAGATCAATCCAGGGATGGTGGCACACACCTATAGTCCCAGCTACTTGGGGAGGCTGAGGCCAAAGGATATTCTAAGTTCAAGAGTTCTGGGCTTTAGTGCACTATGGCAGTAGATGAGGTGTTTGCACCAAGTTTGCCATCAATATGGTGACTTCCCAGGAGCAGGGGGACCACCAGGTTGCCTAAGGAAGGGTGAACTGGCCCAGTTCAGGAACAGAGCAGGTCAAAACTCCCATGCTGATTAGTAGTGGGATAACGCCTGTGAATAGCCACTGTACTCCAGCCTGGGCAGTATAGCAAGAGCCCATCTCTTAAAAAAACAAAAACAAAATGAAAACAAAAAACTAATTTATAATCATATGCAATCCATAAATTATTAGAATATCTTGAAAACAATTTTTAACTTCATAGTGGACTGTATACTGTCTAAAGCAGACTTCATGTCAAATTCAAATGTGTATTGGCAGAGCCTAACATGGTACCTGGGTTCCCAGTTAAAGAGATTTCAAAGTTCCTCAACATGTTAAGAAAGAGGGAGGGGGTTGGGTACTAATAATTTGTGTGTTTACTTCAATTAAAAAAGAAATCACAAGTTCAGTAGAAGAAAAAGAAGAGAAATATGAGATTGTAATGGTCTTTTTATTTATTTGTTTGCCTATGCAACAAGAAATAAAATGCTAGGACTAATATTATAGAAATAAGTTTGGCCACTCCTGGAGGAGAATTAGAAACTGTTAAGCCTCCTTTCTATTTGGTATTCAACAACATCCAGAATAATAACTTCATTGCTCCTGACATTTTTCTACATTCTTCCTTAATTAGTTATATTTTTTTCTCACCTTCCTTGTAAGGCAAGCTCTTATTATTAATAGTAACCCATAATATACCAATGAGATAATCTGTATAAACTAACAAGTGCATATACAGCCTGGAAGGTACTTTTTCTGAAGAGTGTCACATTGAAGTACGTTTTTTAAAGTGAATGTTTAAAATAATTCCAGTGTCCTATTTACCATTTTCAGTGATAATATTGATTCTTATCTCGCTATAGCACTTCATAGTTTACAGAGCACTGTACATACTACTAAAGGTCACCATAAGGAGATACCTCTATTTATAATCTCTATGGACAGGTATATGTTCTCCCATCCAAGGATTGGGAAAACATAGGCTTGTTCTAGACAAATAAGAGTTATCAGCTATGTCTGTCAACTCAGAAGCAAAGAAAGTAACTGAGTTGGCTGAAGGTGACAAACGATTGTAATAAAATGCTTGATTCACTGAGGATTCTCACTTCACAAAGTTAAGCCATCAACATGCTCAGCTCCCTATAAGCCCCACTGACAAGCTAAGTCTTAGTGGCGACAAAGATATGTCCTCAGAACAAATGGGAAAGTCACTCCCTAGGATTCAAGCAATCAAGTATAAGCTTAGAATGAAAAAAGAATTAAATAACAAGAAATTATCCCTGTGGCTGGAAGGTATGGAACATATCCAAGTCCAATTAATGTAACCAGGAAGTATATATACAAGTTGAATGCCTCTAAAGAAAATGGTAACCTAATCCATATCATTCAAGCCTTTCTTTATTCAAATTTTTATTAATCATATTTTTAAGTGATAGGCATCAAAATGTTAGAGGCTAAAGATGCAAAGATAACTCAGATGTGACCTAGGCTTTAAGAATTCACAACACAGCAAGAAATACGTTATGTGTAAACATATAATAATGGTACCATGTGGGAAGTATTGTAACAGAAACATTTACAAAGTATTTGTAACACAGAGTTAAAAAAAAAACAAATACTCTCTGGAATAAGAGCAGTCAAGAAGGAAGTTACAATGGAGATTCTGTTTGAGCTTGTTCTTCAAGATTGAGTATTGTAGGGATCTATAGCTAGAGTCCCAACATAATGGGAAAGGATAATGAAAATGCCTTACAATATCAAATTTCTAGATATCAAGTATTATATTGTCATTGGTATTATAATGCCTTATAATACCAAATTTCTAGACATATCTTTACATGATAAAGATAAATTATAGTTGTCACTGTTGTATAAGGATGTGAGTTTGTCAGGCTGGGAGCCTCAGAGTTGTTGATTAGGTAGAGAATGTATGCAAAAAGTGACCATAGAAAAGTGAATTCTGATTTGGGTCTGAGAGATGGTTGGATACATGGAGACATATGGCAGAAGATTACGTTTAAAGTACTATAAAAAAGAAGGTTGCCATGGCAAAACTTTAGGCTTCATTTAAATCTAAATGTGCTATTTTTATACAATGTAAATGAAATAGAGCAGGTGTACTAGAAGTACCATTGATTAGGGAACATTCAATATTTGGAAAGGGGCAAGAAATATAGATGATGACATGCTAGGAGCAGTATAATTTACTGTTGAATTTTATAATGAGCTGATATTTAGGGATCCCCTTGGTGTGCAGATATATATAAGATATTAATTTTCCTCCCCCTCCAAATTTATTGCATTGTAGACCATGGCAGTCTTTGAAACTTAGGGTTTGGCAGATTGATATGGAAAAAATCATTAGTTCTTTCCAAGTGGACCAAACTAGGAAAAAAGTATATTTCAGGAAGACATATAGAATTGACATGAAAGAATAGGGAATGTCTTATAAACACCAAATTCAATTGAGTATGTGACTTGAAGGAAGAAATATTGCCTAATACTTTGAGAGAAATGTGTGAGGCAAAGATAAAACTAAGGTGGGTCTTATACATTATAAATAAAACAGGTGTATGAAGAACTGATTCTGCCATCTCTGTGGAGGGCTGGTTAAGGAGGAAAGTTAGTTCAAAGAACAAAGACCTTAATGGAGCAATTATTTTCCTAAGGGTTTAGAACCATTCCTGGTTTAAGGAAATAGGAGATATTAATACATCCAGAGACTAGACTTTACTGCCCATAGAAAGGGTAAAGGAAAGAAAATAATAATACAAGATCCCGATGAGAGATAAAGCCATGGTAGAGGGGCCTCTAGCAGGAGTGGTGGTGGTGGGATTTGGTTCCGAAGCACAGAGAGAGCACAGATGAAATTCCCCAGCCCTTATTTCCTCTTATACTCTAGTCTTCTGCCAGTGCCTCTCACTGACTGAATCAAATTTGAAATAAATCTTAAATGCTGACCAGATGAATCAGGCCATAGAGATCAGCCTCCTGGGGCACAGAACACGTTAGATAAGGATATGAAGGGAGAGAGCTAGTGACAAATGGAGATTAGCAACCACAACAGACTGAGGAGAATTATTTGCTGGCTTTTCCATAGACCAAACAATATTTCACCCCAAATTTTCTAATTCAAAGTGTTCTATTTTGGTTTTCTCACCAAGGACTGCTTTGGTGATTAACTTGGTTTTCAGGGTCTCTTAATAGCCTAAATAAGGGATCTAATTAGCAAATATGAGTATTTTGGACATAGCTACATCATATTGCCTAATGCCAATAAATATATTTATCACTGTCTCATCCATAAGTCTTTTTTCAGGATTGGTTACCATGAATCATTCTTCAAAAGTGTGGTCACCTTTGGGTACTGCTTTCAGACTAAACACAAGATGATTGAGTAAGGTAAGTCTATAAAATTCATAAGCATCTGTAAATACCTTACTAAATAATAGTTCTCAAAATTATAATCTAAATTGGAAAAGAGGAAA